TGTTCTATAGGATCTTGAATTTGAGAATTCTTGACTTTTGGTGTTGAATTTTCTTGGTTTTTTGCATTTCGGGTGTCTCTTTTTGGGTGTTTGTTCATTTTGGCAGGGATTTTCTCTCGAATCTTGGACTTCCGATTCAGTAGATGGCGCTATTGAGCCTTGCAAATCGTTCCAGCAGGCTGTTCAGTTGTTCTTTCTTTCTTTATTTATTTCTGAGATTCCGCCTCTTTTAGCCGGGCCCCTCCCCACTCTGTGTGCTCAGGGCAGGGCTGAGGCGTGTCTTCTACAAACCTTGACTATCAGTTGAGTCATCAAGGTTGTGCCCTGCCCCGCCCTGCCCAGCAGGTGTCCTGACTCTCCGACTGCTGGGAGTGAACTCCCGCACGGGTTGGCTCGTTTGGAGAGCTGACTAGTAAACTTCAATGTAGCTCGAGGGGACTCCGGGCTCCCCTCTCCCCACCAGAAATCAGTTAGGGGCTCTTCCAAACTGAGGTCCCCAGAGATGGAATCTGCCTCTCGGGAAGAGGGAGTTTATCTGGGGCCGACGCCCAGGGTGTGGCGGAGAGACGATCTGGGCAGGCTCCTCTTCCCTGCCCCCCCGACACTGGCCGGGGGCTTCCCACGCTACCAGCCCCGTCTGAGATCCACGGGAAGAGTGGGATTATAGGCCGGTCCACAGGCCCCGGGGTGCCCCGCGTCGAGGTAAGCAAATAGCACGTCTCAGCAAGGAGCCACGCCAAACAGAGATGACTGGCCTGCCCTCACTATGCCGGCCTTCTCCGACCCCACCCGAGAAAATGGAGGCAGCTTTGTTGTGGGCGCCCAGCCTGGTGTGGTGGGCGGGGGCCAGGCGGGCGGGGAGCAGTCGGGCTTTGCCCCACAAGTGGGACTGGGCTAGGGGTGACTCACAGAACTGCGCTTCACTCCGCCTCTGTGCAGTCCTTTGCTGGCTTTCCCGGCCTTTGCTGTCTGGGCCGCTCGTTTGTTCCCGCAGCCGGGCCTGGGCGCTCTCAGGAGTCCTTCTCTGTGTCGGCCCCAAAACCCCGAACCTGCTGCCGCTTGTTTGTCAATGTAGGATCGTCGTTGAAAGAATTATTCGTCTTTTGTTGCTCTTGGAAATGCAATCAATACTCTGGTATCACAGCGCACAGCTCTCAGGATCGCGCTGTCTCCTGACACGGCCGCTCCAGGCCTATCACCATCTTTTTTCCCTGTAAGTTATTTTCATTCAGCACAATCAAGATATTCCACTGGCTATGGCTTCCATTATTGCTGTCGAGAAGGCTGCTCTTAAGATTTTCCCCTATATTTGGCATTCCAAAGCTTCCTTGTGATGTATGTACAGGTGGACTCTGTTTTATTTATCCTACTTGGGACTCTTTGGGCTTCCAGAACTTGTGAATTGCTGCCTCATCAGTACTGAAATTTTTTCAGCCATTGTTTTTTCACATCCAGCCCTTGCCACATTCTCTTGTTCTTTCTTTCTAGAACTCTGATTAAATTATGTTATTCCTTTTCAATGTCTCTCAAACTCTTCTTTTTTTGCCCCTCTTTTCTGCATTCTGGGTAATTTCTTCTGCTCTGTCTCCCAGTGCCTCTCTGGGATCCCACTTTCTCTAGGCTTTGGCCTGGAAATTCATCTCTCTTGTCAAATGTCTGTGATATTGTTGAAAAGATTTTTTAAAAAAATCCTTTATCCAGCATTTGCACTTGTTTTCAGTGGGAAGGCTGATGTGAATAACTTAGCCTATCCTTTCTGGAAATGTAAGTCCTACCCTCTTCCTCATCCCCCCTGCTCTATGTGTGTTCTCCTTTCCCTGCTGATCCACGTTGGAGCCATTCTCCAAGGGCTGCCTCCAGTTCCACCCCTTCCAACAGCCCTTCCCTGTCCCATCCCTGTCGAGCTTTCCTGCCGCAGAACTAGAACTGATCATCCCTCATTCAGCAGCAGCACCTTGCGACTTCTCTTGCATTGTTTACTTATAACTTAGAGATTGATTTATTGTCTCCTACATTGATGATCCACTCAGGGAAGGCAGGAATACCCCCCACCAGTGGCTCAAAGTCCCGGCGAATCAGGTGTGCTGGGGATGGGGGAGATTTGGGTTCAGTAGGTTTGGAGCAGTTTTTGGTGTCTGGCCAGGCATTTTGTGGTGCGGATTAAAACCCCCTGACACATACTGTTACACTAAACCCCTATCTGGCTCCACGGGACCTCCTCCCTCGTATAACTTCGTATAATGTATGCTATACGAAGTTATTACGGGTAGTATGGACATTTTCACAGTGTCACTTCTTTCAATCTAGTAGTATGGAATGTCTTTCCATCTTTTTGTGTCTTCTAATTTTTTTCAGCAATGATTTGTAGTTCGTGTGGAGATCATTTATCTCCTTCGTTAAATTGATTCCTAGGTATTTCATTTTTTTGATGGCTATTGTGAATGACCTTGCTTTCTTGATTTCTTTTTCTTCTAGTTGTTATTGGAGTATAAAAACGCTACTGATTTTTGTGTCTTAATTTTGTTTCCTGCAACTTAACTGAAATCATTTATCAGCTCTGAGAGATTTTTGTAGAATCACTAGGTTTTTCTATGTATAGGATCATTTCATCTGCAAACAGGGACAGTTTGACTTCCTCTTTTCCAATCTGGATGTCCTTTATTTCTTTCTCTTGCCTGATTGCTCTGGCTAGTACTTCCAATACTATGTTAATTAGGAGTGGTGAGAGTGGGCATCCTTGTCTTCTTCCTGTTCTGATATGATATTGGTAGTGACTTTGTCACATATGGCTTTTACTGTGTTGAGGTACTTTCTTCTATACCTAATTTGCTGAGAATCTTTATCATGAAGGGATGATGAATTTTGTCAAATGCTTTTTTGTGTCTATTGAGATAATCATAGGTTTTTGTCCTTGATTTTGTCGATGTTGTGTATAACATTTATTGACTCGCATATGTTAACCATACTTGCATCCTTGTGATGAATCCTATTTGATCATGATATGTAGTTTTTTTGATGTGTTGCTGTATTCTATTTCCTAATATTTTGTTGAGAATTTTTGCATCTATGTTCATCAGAGATATGGGCCTATAGTTTTCTTTTTTGTCATATGTGTCTGGTTTTGGTATTGGACAAAGATATTGGCCTCATGGAATCAGTTTGGGAGAATGGCCTCTGTTTCAACCTTCTGGAATAGTTTGAAGAGAATTCACATTGATAATTCTCTTTAAAGGTTTGGTACAATTCAGCAGTAAAGCCATCCAGTCCTGGGCTTTTCTTTGTTGGGAGATTTCTGATTACTGCTTCAGTCTTGTTGCTTGTTCTTGGTCTGTTCAGGTTTACTTTTTCTTCTTGGTTCAGACTTGGTAGTTGTATGTGTCCAGAAATGCATCCATTTCCTCCAGGTTTTCAAATATGTTGGCATATAGTTGTTGTAATAGTCTTTAATTGTTCTTTGTATTTCTGTGGTATCAGTGTCTCCTTTTTCATTTTTGATTTTTGTTACTTGGGTCCTCTCTCTTTTTTTTTTTTTTTTTTCCCCTGATGAAGTCCAGTTTATCTATTTTTCTTGTTTGTCTGCTTCTGGTATTGTATTTAAGAAACCATTGCCTAAGCCAATGTCACAGAGATTTACTCCTATGTTTTCTGCTTTGTGAAAAGCTTTATGGTTTTAGCTCTTACGTTCAGGTCTGTGATCATGCTGAGTTAACCTTTGTTGAAGGTGAGTTAAGGAAGAAGTGCCACTTTATCCTGTGCACGTGGATATCCAGCTGTCCCAGCGCACAGTTTTTTGGCCCTGCTCATAGGGCTGCAGGTGAGGGAGGTATGGCAAAGAGCATGCCGACATCCTCGCTGGACACCTCTGTCTCTCTCCCTGCTTCTGAGCAGGCCCCCGGGACCCCAGGTAGCCAGGCCCTGCCCCCTCCCTTCTGAGTCTGTTTTTCACTGGCTGGGGGAAGAGGGAGGTGGTCTGGGGTCAGTGCACTGTGGGAACGGGTTCTAGTTCCTTTTTTTCACTATTTCAAGCCCTCCCTGCTTTCTGTGCCTAATCATGGAAAAAGAGAGGCAAGGAAGCTGGCTGTGCCACCCTAAATGACTGTCTACAGAGAGGAAATGAGTCACATGAGGTGTGGGAGCAGCCCAGCTGTCTTAAGTGCCACAAACCTCACCCTGATGTTGCTATTTCCAGCCCCTAAATCAAGACTGCCCTTGCTGCTTGTAGACAAGGAAGAGGAGCTGGGCTGGGGCCACCAAGCAGAGCATGGTGAGTTCTGATTCAGGTGCCTGGGGGTGGGGGCTCACAGAACTGGGCCACCAAGGCTTCCTCTGTGGGACAATCAGAATTGGCAGGTGCTTCCTTCTGCCAGTGATGGGATGATGTGTTGATCGGGATGGCTACTGGGGACCACTGACAACACTGGATTCTGAACAAACCCTGTTCAGGTCATCACGACCCAGGAAAACTCCCTGAGGAAAATGGGCAGGAGGAGCTGCTGCCCTGCAACCAGGTGGCTGTCCTGGCAGTCACACACACCTGGGAAATCATGTGATCTCCAGCCGCTGCTAATGGCCCTGATGGGAGAGATCGCTATCCCTTAAGACTCAGCTCTGGGGTCATCCATCAGCTCCTCCTGGAAGCTTTCCTTACACATCCGCAGCCTGCAGTCCCCATCCCCCAGCTGGGTTAGGGACCCCTACTGGGTTCCTGTAATATTCTGTGCTTACCCCCATCCTAGCACCTATAAGCTGTTCGAAGCAATCATTTTTCTTGGTATTTCCTGCTAGTGCCTGGCACAGATGCATAAAAGGAGGGAACCTGCACCAACCAGCTGACCAAAAAAAAGGGGGGACTAAATCTTAGCTGTCCAAATGCCTCTAAGGTAAAATAACAGCTGAGTGGAGGGAACTAGACGGAGACAAATGTGAATTTTAGGGTTGTGGATGTTCAGTGGTGAGGGCTTTTCTCTCCATTGAGGACATTCCTTGGTTGTGTTAACTTTTTTGGGCCATAATTATTTGAGAGCAGAGACAGCCATAACCATTTTTTGTTTGTATGTTCGTATGTTTTTGGTCCCCTGATGGTCAGCAGGAGCTGGATATTTGTTTAAATGTAAATGTAGCTGCCCAGCCCAGGTCTGCCCAAGTTGCTGGGGTGGGGCCAGGCCAACCAGCAGCCCCCTCAGGCTCACACCCCACACAGCCCCTTGAGGAAGCCAGCTGCCCCGAGGGACTTAACAACTACTGACTTCTACTCTTGCACACTCATTTAGGCAGTGGCAATGTGGAGTTACAGATGCCGTTTGTCCCTGCTGTGTGTCAGGCCCTGTGCTAGGCCTTCTACACATGCTTACTCTCCTTCCGAGTGGTCCGGTACCATGTCCCAGCATGCCTAGCTGGTGTCAAAGGACACAATGACAACAGATTTAAAGATCTCTATTGCAGCAGCACTTCATTCCCTAAAATGAAATAAATGTCCCAGTGAGCTGAGCAAAATGGGCTGATGTTATAGACAGAAGAGGGCTGAAGACAGCAAAACAACAAGAAAGCAGCTCAGTCATTTCAAAGTTACTTTTCTTGTAAGGTGGGGACAGGAAGACAGAACAATAGAAAAATGACTGACTAGTTTACATCAGGATACTTTTGGCTGTCTCTTTTGTGTCAGGATTAAAGCAAAATAAGCTTCAGTTTCACACCTATTGCAGATTTAAACTGTCCTGTTCAGGAAGTTGCTGGTTGTCTTTCTCCTGATTTCTCAGAATGTCAGACCACAACCTAAGTGACATGGAATTTAGCAGGGGTGACTCTATTTTGAATTTTAGTCTTGTCTGTTGGGGCCTAGTGGAGGAACTTAGTCCAAAACAGCGGCCTCTTATAATTTTTATTTAACATTGGTTAATGGCAAATTGCAATTAGAACCCTCGGTGGTCCTGTGTAGATGTATCACCGTGATGCTCAGGCCAGACCTTCACAGCTTGAAGGACAAGCGCGGCAGGAGGGTCCTCCCCTTTAGAAGCTGTTCCAGTTCTACTTTTCACTGCTGAGCTGGTAGACGGGGGACTGAGACAGGAGAGGAGTAGAGGGGCAGAGGGGCCGTGGCAGGTCCCAGGCCCTGAATGTGAATTGTGAGCTCCTGCTTCCTGTCCCTGCAGATTCTTGGCACCTTCAGCTGCAGTGTCCCCATCACACCCTCAGCACTGTTTTGAATCAGCCTTTCATTCACACCCACCTTCGGGCTCCCCAATCCCACAGGGCCCTGCCATTCTGTGCTGCTTTTGGTGTGGAGTTAACAGCCCTCACCACCCACTCTGGACCCACCTGTTATCAGGCCCAGGTCTGGCTGCCTGCTCCCATTCAAAAGCAGACCCTCAAAAGTCAAATGTGGGTGAACATGGGAGTTGGCTTTTATTCAAGAATACCAGTGACCTGAGGAGATGTGAGGCTAACCTACTTCTCTGGTAAACATGAAGGAGAATGGCCAGGCTAAAGCCATCTCCAAGACTCAGATCCACCAATGGGTTTTTAAAGAGGGGGCTGAGGGAATGGAACATGGGAAATGAAAAGCAGGAGGGTGGGGAACATGAGCTGTGGGGGCTCTGTACAAGGAGCCAAGTGCAAGGTCTCGCAAAGGCTACCTCTGGCTTCTGTTCCCATCTTTGCTGTTATCTCAGCGTCTGGATAGTACATGCCTCCTGGCATGTCTGCAGCTTCAGGCTGGCTGGAAAACTTTACATTTATGTAAATGATGTCATCTTGCCCCATAAACAAGGTTCACAATATCAAATAACTTCTGCAGCCAGTTAAACCAACTGTGCTCCTTTCTTTGTGGGGGCCCAGCATGCAATGGCTGCAAACAGCAGCCTTGGTAGGGTACACAGCCTGTTGCTTGTATGGGTTGTCCAAAGGGACCTTGGAGACAGTCCTTTCCAATGGACGTTCATGTGTCTGACCTAGTGCTGTCTCCGATCTAGGATCCCAACAGGTATGTGAAAGCCCCAGGCCACAGTGGGAAGGGTTCACATTGGGACTAACTGCATCCCCAACCTTGTGCCCCTGGACAAGAGGTGGACCCTGCTCTCCTGAGGGCTTCCACTGTGTTGCCTCCTACTTACTCGTGCCCGCTAATAAATTCTACTTCCTGTCTAATATATATATATATATCTCAAATAACCATGGGAAAAGAGGGAACTCAGAGAAGTGCATGCTGAGAAGAAAACTGTGTCCTTTTAAAATATGCCCATAGCCCTTGTTGTTTTAGGTCCCATCATGGCTTCAGTCCTGCTCACTGCAGCACTGGGAGGGGACTCTGGCTGGGGAGTGAGGTGGAAGCTGGCTCATCTGGCCACCTTCTGTCCCTGCAGGTGTCATGTGATTCACTGGAGCTGCTGCTTGAGTGGAAATGCTCTCAGTGGTGGAGAATGGACTGGATCCCCGGCTGCCATCCCAGTAGGTGGGCAAGGAAGGATCATGGGTTGGGAAGGACTGCAGAGGACAGCCATTTCATTGATTTTTCTGAATTTGAAATGAATGGTTACTGTTTGGAAAGACAGGCCTCAGGTTGAGAAAAGTTATAGCAGAAGCAGACTCTGAGTGATACCAGAGGAGAGCGTTTGGGGAGGTCGGATAGCTGACCTCAACCCACCCTGTCCTCCCCAGGTTCTTGACTCTGTCATAGAAAAGAATTCAAGAGCAGAGTTTGAACAGAAAGTGAAAAGTGAAAACAAGTTTAACGTAAAGAATAAGAAATACACATTTTGCAGGGCAAATGTGGGCTGGCTCCAGAGAGTGAGCGGCAGCTGCAGAGTTCGATACAAAAGTAACAAATACACACTTCACAGACAAAGTGCAGGCTTGCTTGAGACAGTGAGCAGCAGCCCGCTAAAGGCAGGTTTAACAGAAAAAGCATGAAATACACACCTCACAGGTGAAGTGTGGGCTGGCCCCAGAGAGAGTGAGCAGCAGCCCTGCCTTCTTCCTGGATTTAACTCTTATACTTTGGCTATCTATACATATCCACACTATCTAATGAATATTCATCTAAGGGGGGGTGGTTCCCCATTATGTAACAGGTTATGTAACATAGACTTGCACGTGCTCAGTGGTCTCTTTGGAACAAGCTCACTGATCAAATTCCACCAAATACACTTAAAATATGCTAGGTGCTCTCTAGCACCTGCAGTGGAAGGTCATCCTACCGAGCATGCTCAATCCCTGGAATTACCTAAATCTTCCCCCTGCAGTCTCAGTCTCCATGTGCTTGTGCTGAAAATAGGTGCAACAAGCAATGGGTAGCTCAGATCTCAGAGGAGGGGCTTGAGTCCTAGGGGAGTGGTTTGAGACCCAAGTGAGCAGCCTGAAACCTGAGCCCAGGGAAACCGAGCACCTCACATCTCCTGAGGAGATCCTGCCCTTTCCAGATCATCTTATTGGTGATAAATGAGAATTTACTTTAAAAAATTGCAAATTTAAGATAGGTTACCTGAAGACCAAGGATTTCCATTCAGCCCTTCAGCCCTCTGCCCTTAGGCTGTGATTTGGTCACAGTTTGGCCAATGCATCCAATTGGTCAGAAAGAGATACTCCCAGGCACTGGTTTGTTGTTTCAGTAATGAGGGCAAGTAATGGTAGCTGCTGCTGCTGCTGCTGCTGCTGCTGCTGCTGCTTCCAATTATTATTACTATTTAGTCCTGTGCTTTAAACTCAGTAAATATTTCCTGGCTCACTGAAGTCACCACTTAAATGCTGTTTTTCATCCTCAGTAAGTCACTTTGGGGGGTAGTTTGGGCAGATATCAAGAGAACAGGTGTCTTGCCCAGCATCAGCAAGCTGATCAACCAGATGAGGAACTGATGGGCTGTCCCCAATATGTCTCGATGCTCCTCGGGGGCTCCACGCCATTCTCCTGTGGCTGGCACCATTCCTCATCCATGTTACTGAACTGCCAACAGGTTTTCTTTTACTAATATGTTTAACTTTCACTGACTTACTAAATGTGATTTATTTAGTGGCTTTTTCTTTGAAGATGGAGTGGGGGAAGCCTTTCAGCTTCTGCAAATTGTACTTTCATTGTCACTTGGAATCATGCAGCCATGGGTCTGCATGGGGTGAGACAGGAAGTGGTGCTGGTGGACATGGAGGGAGCCGGGCAGCACACACATGACCCACAGGGGGTCAGGAGAGGCAAGGGCACTGCATGTGACTGGAGATGTCACCCTACCCATGTGTTTTCTGAAATAAAGGCCCACGGAGGGCAATCTTGGGAAATCACTGCTCTCACACACTCTTCTTTATC